CACTTGGAGACAAATTCCACTGCAACTAATAAACTTGAACTCTTCAATGTAAAACATAAATGTACTTTTCCACCAACAATTCCAACTGAAAATATTATCCACCTCCGCTACCTTACTAGGCAAAAGTGATCTAATGACCACCAAACAAGGTTGAAAGGGTCCTGCAACAGAATTACTACTGAATGCATCAAAAGAAAGATCTTGGCCAGAATCAACACCCTTAACTGTATTCAAACCATCAATAAAATCAGGAGAATTGTACCTACGCGGAACCATATGGCCAAAAATAGGTTTAGCAATTGAATACAAAGACAATGCCGATAATGGTGGCAAGACGAATTTACCCGTATTTTCAAAATTCAACTGACTTGTATTCTTAAAAGAAGACCCCAAATTAGACTCCAACGGTATAGAAGTAAACTCTAAATCCACCTAAAATTCTTAAAATATGTTAATTACTCAAACATTTTGTATCACCTTGCAAGATATATAAATTGAATTTTCTATATCCCATCAGCACAATGCGGGTTCCTTTAATAACCTTGAGAACTCCACCTTCAACAGTGTGCCTATACCCTTTTGAATCAAGAGTACTTAAGGATATAAGATTTTTCTTCATATCTGAAATGTGTCTCGCTGCATCAAGTATTCTAACCATCTCATCAAACATCTTTATTCCGACCCATCCAATACCTGACAAGGTGTGTTGTTACCGGACATAACAACACCTTTTCAAAATTCTTCATATGTTGACAATAATTCCCAATTGGGTGATATACGAAAAGTGCAAGCTGGATTCAAAATTCAAGCCTCATCAGGTTTGGAGTTGAAGAAAAATATAAGTAGAAACTCTCCATCACTATTAGAATATTCTGCAACACTTGCTTCCCCTGAAGTTTCTAAATGTTTGTTTGCTGTTGACTTTGATTTACTCTGCAACATACATAATTGAAAGTTAGGTGAAATCATTCCCTAGGCCATTCTTATATTAAGTCATTCGTTTACATTGCATTCTTTGAATTCCTTACTAAAATCGTCGTTAGATTAGTTAACGATATTGATT